GAGATTCGTACTTGGTGGTAGGAAGGAGTCTAGGAATCTGCTTTTTTGAAAAGCTCTCCACGAGGAATTTGGACGACGAGCAGATTTGGTAGATGCTTGTGAGTTACTGCTACAAGATCCCAACACCAGAATAGACTCGATTCTGACTCATCTCCACCCTGTAGGGTGGAGTAGAATTGCTCCTGTGGGTTTCTGAGACTGCAACTCTTTACGGGAGTAGAAAGCCTCATCCTTCCCCCGCAGAGTGGCTAGTGGTTTCAAACTGCTGACCTTACAATTAGCTGCCCAAATGTCGCCACTATGATCACTACCAGGGATCTTTTCAGAGTCCCAATAATACCCCCTTGATATGCGCTGATTCTCTCCCTTCTTCTCCGCTGCACATTATTATTTCCTGGGCGCTATTAAATGTAGGTACACTCTTGTGTACATATTTTGTTTTTAGATGCTGTCTAGTCAGTTCGGACTCACGGCAACTCTGGGCAACAGAACCTGACACTGCGTGGTGTTGCGTCCTCCTCGCCGTTATTGTTAAGTTTGTGCCCACCAGTGCAGCCCCTGTGTGATTCCAGCTTACTGGCCATCTTCCTCTTTTACACGGAACCTCTGCTCTCCCTGTTCCGCTTCCTGGACCCTCTGATAACGCGTCTGCAGTACATGGACAAAGGCTGGCCGTTCTAACTGCTAAAGAGCCTTCTGGCTGGTTTTGCTCCAGGACAGACTTGTTTGTTCTTCGGCAGTCCGTGGTACTTTCAGGTTCCCCCACAACACCGTAACTCAAATGCAAACTCAGCTCTTCCCTGGTCTTCTTTACTCATTGCCAAGCTTTCTCATGTATATGAGGTGAAATACTGTGGCTTGGGTCAGAAACCCAAAGAAAACTCACTGCCCTGCAGTCATAGTGACAGCATGGGACCTGGTACAACTCCCCCTGAGTTTCTGCAACTGTAACTCTTTACGGGAGTAGAAAGCCACATCGTTCTCCTTGGGAGTACTAGCTGGTGGTTTAGAACTGCTGACCTTGTAAGTTCATAACTCAATGGATAACCACTACACAACCAGGGCTTGGGTCAAGGCATACCTTAATCCTCAAAGTGACATCCTTGGTCTTTAACACTTTAAGAGATCTTGTGTAGTAGATTTACAATTACGTTGGGTTGTTTAATTTCTGGACTTCCGCAAGTGTTGATGCTGAATCCAAGTACAATAAAACCCTTGACAACGTCAGTCCTTTCTCTGTTTATCATGATGGTCCAGTTGTGAGGACTTGGTACTCTCTAGGTGATGTTGCAATTCGTCATGAGAGCTGCAGCTTTAGATCTTCAGCAGCAAGTGCTTCAAGTCCTCCTCACTCCCAACAAGCAAGCTTGTGTCATCTGCACATCACGGGTTGTTAATGAGCCTTTCCCCAGTTCTGCTGCCACACGCTTCTCCAGGCAGTCCAGCCTCTCCGGTTATTTGCTCAGGATACAGATTGAATGGCTGGTGAAAGGATACCACTCTGAAGTGTATGTTTTCTCATTTTAAACCACGCAATCTCCATTTGTTCTGTTCAAATGGCTGCCTCTTGTCCTGTGTACAGGACGCACCAGAGTCTGATGAAGTGTTCTGGAATTCCCTTTCTTTATAGTGTTACTTAGTTTATGGTGATCTACACAGCCAAGTGCCTTAACACAGTCAGTAAACCACCAATAAACATCTTTCTGATATTCTCTGCTTCCAACCAAAATCCATCGGAAGTTAGCAGTGGTACCCCTCATTCCACATCCTC